GAGCCTAGGTTATGATTGGTCAGCCAACCTGGTTCACTAATAGAATCAGATTTCTTGTTGGGTGATTACGATTTTAACCATTCCATTCCAGATAATCCTGTAAATTAAAATTAAGGGTGTTTCTTTTAGGGTTGGAGGTTGCCTGTAGTTTATGCTGGTAAAGCATGTGGTTTTCATGGGTAGAATTACATCAGTGCAACTGTGCAGAGTTTGCAAGTTTGGCGGCACGGTGGCTCAGTGGTTAGCACTGCTGCCTCACAGCACTAGGGACCCAGGTTCAATTCCACCCTCGGGCGACTGTCTGTGTGGAGTTTGCACATTCTCCCCGTGTCTGCTCCAGTTTCCTCCAGGTGCTCCGGTTTCCTCTCTCAGTCCAAAGATGTGCAGGTTAGGTGGATTGGCCATGCTAAATTGCCCGTAGTGTTCAGGGATGTGTAGATTAGGTGGGTTATAGGCGGATGGGTCTGGATGGGATGCTCCGAAGTTCGGTGTGGACTTGTTGGGCCGAAGGCCTGTTTCCACACTGTAGGGATTCTATGATTCTATGATAATGGTTCATCTAATCTGGAGTAGCAAGAGCAACAGGACATCTGAGAACTCTTTGAATAGCAGAATCAATAACTTGTTGCCTTAAGGAGATTTAGGAATTGAGAAATAAGCAGAAGGTTGGCTGAGGTGAACTATGCATTAGAGTCAAATCAAAGAGCAATAGGGTGGGAAAGAAAATTTTAACTTCAAAATTTCACTCTTTTAAGATCTTTAACAATGCATTACCTGAAGGAGTGAGACATTATAATCTTTAGTTATTCATTTTCTAGGCCAGAGAAGTCGATTGACTATGATATTAATAATTATCGTGTATGAGCACATGAATTAGGAACAGGAGATCACTCAGCCCCTCGAGCCTGCTCCTCTATTTAGTACTATGCTGGGTGATCTGAATACTCCACATTCCCACTTTCCTTTACTTATCAAGAATGTATCAACCACCTTCAAAATATTGAAAGACTCTGCTAGTACCACCTCTTGAGGAAGAGTTCCAAAGATTCACAACTCTCTGAGAAAAGAATTCTTATTGTGTCTGTCTTAAATAGATGACCCATTATTTTGAAATAGTGATTCCTAGATCTAGATTCTCCATAGGAGGAAATGTCCTTTCCACATCTGTGCTTTATCCACATTAGTAAAAGTGTATTTATGCAATTAATTATTGGCCTAGATTTCTGTGGTGGTTTCATGAGCAAATGTGCATATTCAGTAAGCTCTTAATAATGGAGGGTGATTATGGATGAAATACCATTTATCAAAGCTAAAGTCAGACAGGTGCAAATCATCCAGCAAATTGCAGCAATTCCCACGTTAGTTCTTCCTCTCCTCAGTGTACACATCTTTAATGGTGAGAGACATTACAACTGCCATGTCATTTTGTCAACAAATTATTTTTGTTCTTTTGCTGGCAATGAAGTGCCTGTCACTTCTGGCGAAACATCTTTTATCATGTATGTATAATAATGGTTCAATTTTATTGTAATTCGTAAATAAGAATGACACAACATGACTTCAGCTGCAAAATGGCATGATTGGGGCAATTAAGACTCAAACTGGAAAATTGACAATTTTGTTGAATGGATGCAAATGTTAAAAAGGTTCAAATCAAAAGCTGATTTATTTAAGTAATGAAATAAGTGAACTCAATTCTTATTTATGTCATAGAAATTTTTTTTATTCCACATTTAAATCAAAACTTAACAATTATATCATACTTTTCTTTGAAGGAAGCCTGTTTCTTCAGTTGTGGTGAAAGTCTGAACAGCAAGGGATTAACATACCTCACCAATTCCCTGTTTGATTATCGAAGTCCAGAAAATAATGGAGTCAGGGCTGAGTTTATTTTGGATGCTGCTCAACACAAGGTCAGGTCATTACTAAAACTAATTAGTACACTGGGAGTATTTATTTTCCCAAGGTTCTATTTTAAAATATATCATGGCATATTTATAAAAATTTCTGAAACCTTCAGAAATAAATGCTTTCAATATTTGCTGTGTTAGGTTACACAGGTTGACTGACATTACTTCCCTGTATAGACCTACTGTGGAAATAGTAGAGGCAAGCAATATAGTCTGACTGCATTAGATTGAATTTAGTTTTATTTATCAGCTTGATCAGGGTTTGATGTTTCTCAGATTGTAATGCCAGTTGAAGAATACCACAGATGCCTGGATAAGTAACAAGTATGGTTGGGTTAATTTAAATTTTGTGTGTAAAAGGGAGAACTGATAACATTTCAAATCCCAAACCAAGAAAATTAAACAGAAAATGAATTGCTTATATTTCTTAGAATGGTTGCCAAAATCACTTAAATCAGGTGATTAGCATCAGACTTTAGCATTTGGTTGGTATTCAAAAATTTGTACAAGATTATGTAAGGATAATTACACAGTTTAAAATTGAAACAAAGCTGATATTAAACTGTCAGGTATCATCTAATGGGTATATTCTCGATGGCAATGCTTCTGCCAATCTGAATTCACTTACTAACCAATCAACAGTGTATTCTAACATTGATATTTAAAATGAAATTCTCTTGGTAATGGTATTTCTTGTGAATTGTCTTGGTGTATGCGTGATGAAAATGTTCAAAATCGTGTTTTCTTTCCATCAGTATTCAATTTCTACCAGACGACTTTATTCTAAAGTTATACCACTAGGAACCTTGGTAAATGCAGCACATTCTAATTTTTTTTTCTCAATTGTTGGAGTGCTTCTATTTTATTGCACAGCCATTATACCTGTGTTCTGATTTTTAAAATTATAATATGTGTCCATGGAACATGACTTTATTGTAACTCTTTAAATACCTATCCAGACAATGCAATAAATCTAGACTGAATGCTTAAGGTCTGTACAAACATAGGAATTCGGAGCGGGATTACGAGGCAATGCTGAACCTAATTTCAGTGAAAAAAGTCGAGCAAGTGAGAGAAGTGTCAGTGGGAGAGCATTTTGGTGGTAGTGACCATAACTCAGTCAGATATAGGTGGTCATTGAAAAGGGCAAAGATGGACCAGAAATAAAAGTTTCAAATTTGGGGAAGGCTGATTTTAAAATGATTTTAAAATGGTAAGACAGGATCTTGCTGAAGTTAAATGAGAGCAGCTGCTTGTGGGAGTCTACGTTGGAACAGTACGAGTCATTTGAAAAGGAAACCGTGAAAGTGTAGGGCCAACATGTACTTATAAAGGTGAAGAGAGGGACCAAAACCTCCAGACAGCTCTGGATACAATCAGAAGACCAAAACCCTGGAGGCATGCAAAATGTGCAGGGGGTCACTTTCAAAAATGAAATTAGTCAAGTGCAAAAGGGGCACAAAGAAAGCATTAGCAGATAAAATAAAGAAAGTTTAAAAGGCATTTTATATGTATTTCATGGCTAAGAAGATAACCATGAAAGAATGGGCCCACTCAATAGATGCTTGATGACAGGCACAGCCACGATGGGCCGAAAGGCCTCTTTCCGTACTGTAAAACTCTGACTCTGACCATAAGGCATAGAAGCAGGATTAGGTCATTCTGCCCATCGAGTGTGCTCTACCATTTGATCGTGGTTGATACGTTTCACAATTCCATTTTCCTGCCTTCTCCCTGTAACTCTTGATCCCCTTACTATCAAGAACCCATCTATCTCTGTCTTAAATACACTCAATGACTTGGCCTCCATAGCCCTCTACAGCAATGATTTCCACAGATTAACCATCCTCTGTCTGAAGTAATTCCTTCTCATCTCAGTTCTAAAGTTGTTTAGAGACTGTGCCTTTGGGTCGTAGACTGTTTAACTAGTAGAAATGTCTTCTCCCCATCCACACGATATGACCCTCTCAGTGTTCTATAAGTTTCAATCAGATGCCTTTTCAACCTTCTAAACTCCATCGAGTACAGACCCAGAGTCCTCAACAGCTCCTCATTTGACAAACCCTTTATCCGTGGAATCATTCTTGGAAACTTACTCTGGACCCCCTCCAATGCCTACACATCCTTCCTTTTACACATCCTTCCTTTTGCGCGTCCTTCAGTAGGACACCCAGATCCTTCTGCACCTCAAAGCTCTGCAATCTCTCCCCATTTAGATAATACACTTTTTCTATTCTTCCTGTCAAAATGGACAATTTCACATTTTCCTACATCGTACTCCATTTATGAAGTCTTTGCCCACTTCTTTAGCCTATCTATATCTTTGTGTAGCCTCTTTATGTCCTATCTATAAATGACTTGCGACCTGTCTTTGTCATTTGCAAATTTAGCAGAATTGTGTAATATTGAGCACTGATTTCTGTGGTACGTGACTTGTTACATCTTGCCAACTAGAAAAGACCCATTTATGCCCACTGCCAATTCCTGTTAGGTAGTCAATTTTCTATTCATGCCAATGTGTTACTCCTTCGACCAGGAGGTTCTATTTTCCACAATTACCTTGGATGTGGAACCTTATCAAATGCCTTCTGGAAATCGAAGTACAGGAAATCCATGAGTTCCGTTTTAGGTGCAACATATGTTACTTATTCAAAGAACTCTAAAGAATTGGGTAAATACAATTTCCCTTTCACAAGTTTCCTGTAGTTATAATCTCTCTTTCAATACCCACCATGTTAAGCCCCATCAGGATCTTGTTTGCTTCCAAGAGATTATTGCTAATTTTTCTAAACTGCGAAGAGATACAGGTCAAGCCTGTCCAACCTTTCCTCTCAAAATAACTTCTCCATCTCTGGTACAGGTTGAATGTACTTCCTCTGAACTGCTTCTGATGTATCTACATGCTTTATTAAATAAGACCAAAACCATACACAGTATTCCAGATGATGTTTCATCAGTGTTCAATGGCAGAGTAGAGAGTAAGCTGGGGAGAACATACAAACTAGTTGTAAAATAGGTAGGTGAAGAGAAAAACAGTAGTGAAGACAAATGTGGGTCCCTTAACAGTCAGAAACAAGAGAAGTTATAATGGGGGACAAGGAAATTCCAGACCAATTAAATACATATTTTGATTCTGTCTTCATAACAGATGACACAAATAAGTTGCTAAAAATATTGGGGAGCACGGGTTCTAGTGAGCAAATGGAATTTATAAAATCAATATAAGTAGAAAATGGTGTTGAGAAAATTGATGGCATTGATAAAAAGCTGATAAATCCCCAGGGCCCAATAATCTGCATCCAGAGTACTTAAGGAAGTGGCTGTAGAAATAGTGGATGCATTGGTGGTCACCTTTCTAGATTCTATCAACTCAGGAACTGTTCCTATGGATTGAAGGGTAGTTAATGCAATCCCATTATTTAAAAGAGAGGTAGAGAGAAAACAGGTAATTATAGACTGGTTAGCTTGACATTGGTAGTGGGGGAAATGCTAGCATCCACTATAAAAGATTTAACAGCAGAGCACTTGGAAAACAGTGAAGGGATTCAACAGAGTCACCATGCATTTATGAAAGGGTTGACTAAGCTACTTGAAGCTTTCGATGATGTAATGAGTAGAGTTGACGTGGAATGGGCCAGTGAAAGTGATTTACGTGGACTTTCGGAAGGCTTTTGATAAAATGCCACAGAAAAGGTTAACATGCAACATTAAAGCACATAAGATTGGATGTAGTGTATTGACGTGAATAGAGACTGGTTAGCAGACAGGAAACAAAGAGTAAGAATAAATAGTGGGGTACTACAGGGACCCCAGCTATTTACAATCTACATTACTGATTTAGATGAGGGAACTAAAGGAATATCTCCAAGTTTGTAGGTGGCACAAACCTTGGTGGAATGGTGATCTATGAGGAGGATGTGGAGATACTTCAGTGTCACTTGGACAAGTTGAGTGAGTGAATGATTATTATCTGAATGTCAATAGATTAAGAAAGGTGGGGGGTGCTATGATAGAGGGTGGTCTTGTTTACCAGTCACTGAAAGTAAGTATGGAGGTATAGAAGGCAGTTAATAAAGCAAATGGCATGATGGGCCTCAAGTGAGAGGATTTGAGTACAGAAGTAGGGATGTTTTGCTGCAACTGTACAGGTCATTGATAAGACCACACCTGGAGTAATGTGCACAGTTTTGATCTCCTTTGCTGAGGAAGGACTATTGACGGAGTGCAAAGAAGGCTTACCAGACTGCTTTCTATGATGGCAGGATTGATGTATGAAGAGAGACAAGATCAGTTAGGATTACGTTCACTGGAGTTTAAAAGAATGAGGGAAGATCTCATTGAAACCTATAAAGTTCTCACAGGACTGGGCAGGGTAGGTGGAGGGAGGATGTCCTTGATGAACGGAGAGCCCAGAATCAGGGGTCACAAAGATATAGGGCAGGCCATTTAACAGAAATGAGGAAGAATTTCTTTACCCAAAGAGTAGTGAGCCTGTAGAATTCTCTGCCATGGGAAACTGTTGAGGCCAAAACTTTGAAGATTTTCAAGAGTTCTTAGAACCAAAGGGATTTAAGGATATGGAGAAAGGTTACTGAGTTAGATGATCAGGTATGATCATATCCTGTACTCTATTTGCATTTTTGAGTAGTATTAATGTTACTGGAGTAATAATCTAGAGTTCCAGACTGCTGCTTTGGAGACTTGAGGTACAATTCCACCAAATTAATTTAGTTTTAATTATTATGTCTGGAATAGAATGCTAGTCACATTAATGATAGAAGCATAGAAGATAGGAGCAGGAGAGGCCATTCGACCATTTGAACCTGCTCCACCATTCAATATGATCGGGGATCTAAGGGCAACTTTTTTGTGCAGAGAGTGGTGCGTGTATGGAATGAGTAGCCAGACGAAGTGGTGAAGGCTGGTACAATTACAACGTTTGGATGGGTATATAAATAGGAAGGGTTTAGAGGGGCATGGGCCAAATGCTGGCAAATGGAACT